AAGCATTCCTCCACTTCAACCAACCAACTTGAATTCTACTATTAACATCCCCATCTATATCACCATCGTTTTGGACAACGGACCCAAGATATCTAAATCGTTCACACCTTTTAATAATTTGATCACCCAAAGTCACACTTCTGTCACTAGAGCTATTGCTACTAAAATTACATTCCATGTATTCAGTTTTAGTTCTACTTAAACGAAGGCCTTTAGACTCCAATGTAGACCTTCATAATTCAAGTTTTTCCTGGGCTTTTTCTCTCGTTTCATCCACGAGAATAATATCATCAGCAAAAAGCATACAACAAGGTACATCCTCTTGTAGATGTTCAGTAAGACCATCCATAACTAAAGCAAAAAGATATGGGCTTAAAGTCGATCCCTGATGTAAATCAACAGAAATAGGAAAATATTTTGTGCATCACTGGGATAGTAGCAAATATTTTATTTCTGGTGTGGCTTAAAAGAACAACATAGTTTTTCCAAATGGAAAATAATAGAAGGAAATCAGAAAAGTGCCCAATTTACTACTTTCACCAATTTTACATTTTATTTTATTCTTCACCATATGCCTTGATCTGCTCCTTCCATCGAGCAATGAATTGGCTAACCCCTTTAGTCCTCTTCACTTGAGCTTTATTGACCGACAGAAAAAAATTAAAAAGATAAAATCTATTATGATTCCATCAAGTATACCGGGCTTTTGAGTTGGCTTGCTCTCAAACTACTCATTCTTTGAACTAATCTCATAGGTTGGAAGGCCAAGCACACTAGATTTTATGATCATATTTATATGTGAATGGAAGGGGTGCTGCAAAAAGGAACTGAATGACGGTGCATATTACAATATTTGTTTCTGCATGCATACGTAGGCTATGAATACATGAGCAGACATTGAATTTACTTTCCAATGCTAGAAATTATGGCATAATGATTTCCTATTTCTTATGCTTTAAATCTTATACGGCCTTATACTTATTTTCTTTTGTTTTGTATATATCTGTGTGGTTTCTGACAAATATTGTTTTGAAAGTTCTGTGCTCAGACCTTGTGGGCAATCACAGGCTTTTGCATGAACTTACCTGTACTTTTTCATACAGGCTTTGAAATTAAGTGACGATTTGAATCTTAATGAAATTGAGTGCGTCCAGCTACTTGTTACGACCAATAAGGAGGTATGAAGATGTCTTTTTAATTTTTTTTGCAATTGTAAGCATTATTTACTGATGATTGTTATACATTGTTTATTGAAATTTATATTTACTTATTAGTTTTTTCTCTAGTGGATTCTTTTTGGGCGAGAGCCATTGGAGATATACCGACTTGCAGCAGGCCTATGGTACATGGAAAGAAGGAGTGTTATAACCTCCTTACACGCCCTTTTACGGGTAATTTGCATAAACTATTGCATCTGAATCCATGATTAACTATTGCATATGAATCCATGCTTAAAATGCAAATTTCACCTTTTTTATTCTACTTGATTTTTAATCTTTTTGTCCAATTCTTTTGTACTTTAGGCTGTTGTACTTGATAATGGACTGGAAGCTGATACCTTGGCCGATATTCAGAAATATCTGGAAGAACTTTTTGACTCTGGGCTTAGGCAGAGGCTTATTGCACTCATAAAGGTTGGTATGTTTGTTTCCAATCTTCATTGTCTCGCTTATATGCATGAAACTATGTTCTGAATGAGTGTGATACTCTTGTAACAATAATTTTCCGTCTTATTTCTTTGGTTTTCCATATCCCTTTCAAGACTGAAATTAACAACATTTTTAATTTTTATATTCACATCACGAATAGGAATTAAATCGGGAAGAACCAGCTGGTTTTGGTGGACCTAATTCTGAACGCTATATCATTGACTTCAAAGGTGCAGTTGTTGAGCGGAAAGCAGTTGTTGCTCAAGAAAGAGTTCTTCTTAGTCACTGCCTCGTCCTATCTGTACTTGTCTGGAGAATGAGTAAGCTAATTTATTTGTTTTATTTTTTATTTTTGATTTAAAATTTCAAAGATTATCTATCCAAACAATTGTTGCTTCATAGTTGCTTTTATCAGTTTTAAGGTGAAAAGACATTGGGTTCTGCTTTTTGCCTTTTTGTTTGAGACATTGCTTTGTAAGTTTGGGAAAATGCGACTTGTGAGTCCTATCAAATCCGGTTTTTCTGTAAAACTAGGCTAATATAATATAAAGTGTTACAAATTTACTGATCTATTACTCATTTATGCAATCTTGTAGTAAATTAATGCACATGCAAACATTTGCTGCTCTTTGGGATTTCAGTTGCTTGCTCTATGCCTTGTGGCCGAGTTCGCACTCAGAGCTCGCACTCAGAGCAAGGTCTGGATTAGATGTGCACTGGCTGAGGAATACTTGGTTATGGCTTTGTGTAGTCCATGCTTACATAATGTTTGTTTTGACTATTTGCATTTTTTTACTCCAACTTATTTCTTGCTCTCTCTGAATTTTCCTTACAAAGTTCTGCTTTTTGGTGTATATTTTCCATGATTTGTTTTTTACTTATTTATCAAAGTCTTTTTTTGTCCAGGATCTTTCTTTTTGGTTATTTTACTTTCCATGCCATGTTATAAGTAAGGTCGTGGCTTTAACTTTCTCAAACTTCGTCCCGCAGGAAATTAATATAAGTCCTATTAACTATGAAAGAGGGATGCAATAGTCACTACTTGTCAAGGTCCTTAGGAATTAAGACGTTTTGAAACATTGCAGAGTGTTTAAGTGATATTTTTAATTTTTCTCGGTACATTTTTATTGTTTTCTTCATTTTATATTTATTATCTATGCAATTTATCAATGAATTGTCTTATTGGTTCTTCGTCTGTCTCATGCTCTGGGAAATAGTATATCTTGTTTTTATTTTTTTATCATTTATTTATTTTTGCTCTGATTATGGATTTGTTTGAGGGGGCGGTAAAAGTGGTTGTAATGCTTTTATAGGGAAAGTAACATTTTAAAAGCTATTGTGGATATTAGAAAAATATATATTTTTTTTGTTTTGAAAAATTCAAATAATAGCATTCTTATAGCTTCTATGTCACACTCCATGATGACCATTGCCCACCAGTAGACGGAGGATGCAACAGAGGTGATGATGGAATATATTTCTAACACTTATTTTAACTTCTTAATTACCTGAAGAAAGCAGGTGATAAACTCAAATCACCTGAATGCACTCGATATAACACATTACTATAATTCACATATATCCAATAAAATTGACCATTCAAATCAAGCGAAAACAATACCAAATATTTCATTTAAATATATCTGCATAGTATGTAATACACATTAACATTTTTGCAAATAAGTTTTGTCAGGCATTACTTCAAAATTTTTCTTTCTTAAATTAGATTTATAATTAAATATAATCACAAAATTATAGTGATTTTATTCAATTTCAACCATTTCTTTTCTTTTTTTTTTCATTAAAAAATATTTATATCATTCTAGTGAGCTAAGAGCTCAAAAAGGTAAACAAATCTAATACAAAACCAAAAAACTGAAGTATAATAAATTATATGTGTGTAAATCATAAATGGATATAATCGTAAGACAGGATATATATGATCAATACATTTTCATAATAATGAAAGTCCAATTTTGATTGCATAAACTTTAATAGTAATATTTTGTACAAGAAATAATATCAAAGTTCCAATATACATTTCCTTAGTACATACATACATTAAGTCAATCAATAATTTATTTGCTTATTCTTTAATTTTAATGTATCAATCAATTTTTTTTTGCCGTCTTGTATTTAACATTAGCTTAAAAATTTTTTATATATGATTGTTTAGATATACTGCCATCATAAAGTTGAGGGCTTTGAACCAAATACTATATAATTTGCGGTCTAAATTTAGCCTGGAAGTTACATCATTATGTTCAATAGAGCCTAAGTGAACCCAACATTATTGCCGTTGAACTACTTTCACGACTGTCTTGCCTATTGGGAATCCTTCTGCCTCACCTGCACAGGTATCATAGTCAAAGCATTACCATGACATGCTATTTCTTAAGCTCAGTACATCTGCACCATTGTATGTTTGAATAGACTTGTGAATTGTTTTTAAAACATGCTTAATAACAGTATGTATAATTTTGTAGTTTATTTATACCAAATATTTTTATTTATAAGTATCACGAATTAGCAAAATTTTTATATAATCAAAATATATCTAATTACGAGCTTGCTAGTAAACATGCATTTGACAATTTGAAAAAAATTCATGGCGGTACACAAAATAATCTAATTTACATATAATAACACATGCAAAAGACTGAGAAAACTTTATTTTTGCAAAAGAATTTGCACTTCTTATTTGATGAGTTAACTCTTCGAATTGAATGCCTTTAAACATATTTCTTTTGTAAACAATTTTACAGAGACTTCTCATGAATAATGCACTTTAAACATGTATTTCACAGTTTGAAAAAAATTCATGACGATAGTCTAATTTACATATAATAACACATGCAAAAGACATATATATATATATATATATATATATATAGAAATTGCACATCTTACTGGATGAATTAGCTCTTCGAATCAAATTCCTCAAAATATATTCCTTTTGTAAACAATATTATGGAGCCTTCTTCTTTTACAAGCATAAAGACCTATCACCGATTTGTAATCTAATTGTTAAGAGAATACAAAAATTCTAATTTTAAATAAAAAAAAATCCAATTCCAATTTCTTACATTTGCCATTTTTCTTCCATCCATTCCTCCACTCTACCTTCTCGTCTCCTTATCTTCTTACATTTGCCATTTTTCTTCCATCCATTCCTCGACTCTACCTTCTCGTCTCCTTCTCCTTTTTCTTCTCCTCTTTTTCCTTTTTTCCCCTGATTTCCTTCCTAGGCCGCTCTCTGCTTTCAAACTTCTTGCGTGTTGAAGGAAAAGAAATGGGAATTCTTATTTCCTTGAAGCTTTTGTATTATTTTATAATAAACGTAACAGTTATAAATTATATTTTAATCTCTTATAAATCCACATCATTGCCACCATCCATCAGTATCAACCATTGCATGGAGTTGTAAGTGGATTTGAACTTTAAATTGAAATATATTACAATATAGTATTAGTAAAATAATACATCGATAATTAATATTAATTTTAATACTAATTTAATTTATATTAATTAATATACTTAAATATTTGCAGACGTACATGCATATCAAAATGATCCTAGCAAAATATAGAATTTTACAGAAATTGTTTTAGTCATTTTGTGGGGCAAAAAATGGAGTATAATTTATTTAAATATTTTTGCATTTGTGCCTTGTCAAAATTTAGGTATTACATACTGCACTATATTGAGTTTCTCATCATTGAAATTTCTGATAAGCAGCAAGAGTATGAAGTAGAGCCTCAACCAAATGTGTAAATGGGGTTTGAAAAGCAAATTAGTGAGAAAGTTACCCCAAATTGATCCTAAATGTGCAAATTGTTTATAGAAAGGCTCCCGTTTACATGGAGAAAGTTGAATATAGGTATCTCCATTTCTGTCTATTTGCAGGTCCGAAGGAGGTAAGCAACGTATTTTCTATGCTAAGAGATTGTGCGGCCGAAGTTGATGATAGTGATAACACTATAAAACTTCAGGTTTCACATATTACTTATTTTTTCCTTCTAATTTATATATAGTTGCTGTTTTATAATCCTACACTTGGGAGTCTTACGTTTTCATGCCCCTTATAGGCTTTTTCCCTGAGCTAGCATTTTTATTTTCTTTTCTGTGGACAGTTTTGGTAATCAAATCTCTGTTTGTTTATATTCTCATTTTTATTTACTGCAGATCACAATCAGTTTAATGTTCTCTCTTGTGATTTCTTTTGTATCTGATGCTTTGAGTACGAGTTCTGTGAAAACGTCTCTGCTGTCCCATGATGCCACTTTCAGGCAGGAGTTCCATAAATTAGTAAGGCAAACTGGTATTCTTTTTTTTTTTTTTGGTTTTCTTATCATGCAAACTTTTTTTTTCCTCAAATTCTTATAGTGCTGTTTTCTAGGTAATGACATCGGGCAACAATCCAAATGTTGAAGGATTTGTAGATGTCGTTAGACTTGCATGGATAGTGCTTCTTATATATACCCAGGATCAGGGTGGTGCTAGGGAGACCCCTGTAGGTTTGGATTCAAGAGATTTGGCTCCCATCTATGAGTCCCTAGAAACTGTCTGTTCAAGAAACGTTTTCCAGTTTCTACTTGCCAAAGTTCTCCAAATGCCATCCTACCAGGTTCACATTATGCCATTCATTTATGTTATGGATAATTTTGTTTGTGAAAAATCTTTCTTTCGGTACCTTCTTTTTGTACGTGTTCATTTAGTTTTTATTTAATTTATTTCCAAAGAAGTTCAACTTGTAGCTTTTGTTCTTTTCACTGGATTGTTACACATATAACATGTCAATTGATGATTTTTTATTTCTTTGGGCTTGTGTCATTCGCTGACCAAAGAAGTTCAACTTGTAGCTTTTGTTCTTTTCATTGGATTGTTACACATATAACATGTCAATTGATTATTTTTTATTTCTTTGGGCTTGTGTCATTCGCTGGCACTACCTTTTTTATGGATATATATTTGATTTGCATTCTTTTAAATGTTTTCCATTAGGTTTATTCCTTGAGATTTTTTTTAAAAGAAGGCTTGTTGATTTTAATTTGAAAAGTGGAGGGTTGCATTAGGTAGTCAACAACCAGCATAAAACTTATCAAAAAAATGATGACATGAATCCTTTTGATCATTGTGTAAGTGCTAGAGTGTCCCTTGCAAGCGACATGATGTATAGCCTGAATACAGTAGAAAGTGTGCGAGGGCCGCTACACCGCCACCTGGGTGTAGTGTTAAATAAGCAATGGTTCTGAAAAACTTATATCTTATGTATTCAAGAAGCTAAATGGGTTGGAGAAAATGCTAAGACAATGATAGAAAAACTTATATCTTATGTATTCAAGAAGCTAAATGGGTTGGAGAAAATGCTAAGACAATGATAGAAAAACTTATATCTTATGTATTCAAGAAGCTAAATGGGTTGGAGAAAATGCTAAGACAATGATAGAAAAACTTATATCTTATGTATTCAAGAAGCTAAATGGGTTGGAGAAAATGCTAAGACAATGATAGAAAAACTTATATCTTATGTATTCAAGAAGCTAAATGGGTTGGAGAAAATGCTAAGACAATGATAACTTAGGTTTTAAACTTTGGTATTCTGGTAAGAGTCACACTAGAAATGATGTAAGTGTATAGAAATGATGTTAGTGTATTAAGAGTTTGAAAGATAATGTTGTAAAAATTAATAAAGTTGCAGATATAATTATAACGCTTAAGATTATCACTGTTACTAAGATTTTTGATATTATAAGTGCATATGCTTCTCAAGTATGTTTAGATGTAGAGTTTAAAGATAAATTCTGGAATGACTTAGAAAACTTAATACAAATGATACCTCTTGAAGAAATAATTTTTATTGAAGGAGATTTAAATGGATATGTCGGTAGAGTGGTAGAAGATTTAAAAAATATTCATAGTGGCTACGATTTTGGAGTGACTAATGAAGAAAATAAAATGTATTTTAGATTTTGCTTTAGCGTATAATTTTGTTATTACTAATACTTTATTCAAGAAAAGAGATGAGCCTCTTATTACTTATAAGAATGAATCTAATAAAACACAAATTGATTATTTTCTTATGAGAAGAAGAGATCGTCGAGATTGTAAAGATTGTAAGGACATTTCAAGTGAGGATTTAAGTACCCAACATCGTTTATTGGTTATAAATTTTAAGATGAAGAGTTGTAAAATAAAGAATACTAGGATCCATCATCGTAGAATTAGATGGTGGAACCTAAAAGACAAATAAAACTATTTTTATAAGTAAAATTAAAGATTTCAAATTTGGGATGTTCATTAAGAGTCAAATGCTATGTGAGAGAAATTAGCAAACACTATTAAACAAGTACCAAAATGTACTTGGGGAATTAAAAGAATTTGGGATGTTCATTAAGAGTCAAATGCTATGTGGGATAAATTAGCAAACACTATTAAACAAGTACCAAAAGATGTACGTGGTGAATTAAAAGAAAAAAAATTCTATAAATAAAAATATTTTGCATTAGAATAAAAAATAGTTGGTGGTGGAAGAATAATGTGCAAGAAAAGATAAAATAGAATAAGTTGTGTTATAAAAATTGGTTTAAATGTAAAAGCTTAGAGAACTGAAAAAAATATCAAACGGTCCGCAGAGAGTCTGAAATAACAATATGCGACGCTAAAAATTTTGCTTTTAATGATCTTTATAATATATTAGAATTTTGATAAACTTTTTAATGAAATTTCTGAAAATACGATCGACCTTAGTGATTTTAATATCGTTAGTAATATTAAAACATATAATAAAATGTTTCATTTTTATTGTCGTATTAGTAAAAAAGAAGTTGAGGAGGCTTTAAAGAAAACCAAAGGTGGAAAGTCTGTAGGAGTTGATGATATTCGGAGCTGATGATATTCCAGTTGAAGTGTGGAAATATTTAGGAGATTTGGGAGTTTCTTGGCTTACTAAACTTTTTAATATTATTTTAAGAATTAAAAAAAATGCTTGAGAAGTGGAGAAAGAGTATTTTGGTCCTCATTTTTAAGAATAAATGTGATGTACAAGGTTGTGCAAATTATAGAGGAATTAAGTTGATGTGTCATAATTTAAAATTATGGTAGAGGCAATTGAACATAGGTAAAGACAAATTATAAAAATTTCTCATAATCAATTTAGATTTATGCCGGGCATGTCGGAAGCTATACATTTATTGAGAGGTTTGATGAAGAAGTTCAAAGATAATAAGGAGAATCTGCATTTGATTTTGATTGATTTAGAAAAAGCTTATGATTAGGTTCTAAGTGATATCCTATTGAGAATTATTGAGAAGAAATGTGTTGATATGACTTATATGCAAGTCATTAAAGATATGTAGGTTACAGCTGTTACTTGTTAAAGATATGTATGTTAGAGCTGTTACTTGTGTTCGAACTGAGGGAGAATTGACCAAATATTTTCTTATTTCTTACTGAGGGAGGATTGACCAAATATTTTCTTATTTCTCTTGGATTACAAGGATTACAACAGGGATCGACTTTAAGCCCATATCTTTTTGCTTTAGTTATGAATGGTCTTTCTGGACATTTACAAGAGGATGCACCTTGGTGTTTTGCTATAGTGGGAAAATTCCTTTATGGTCACCCAAAATTTGAGATCATTCTGAAAGATTTTGATACTATGAAGCTATTCAGTAGTTGAAATATTGGCTTACTTGACGATCGACATATACTTAATCAGTTATCACACGATGTGGATTACACTCGTATTTTTTCTCGTAATGTAATCAAGATCGACAACCGTTTTATGAAAATATTATGAAAAAGTGGACTGTCGATGTCGACTTTGATCCAAAAGCGGAGTCCCCCATCATTCTTGTTTGGATAAAGTTTCCGGGGTTAAAACTACACCTGTTCAACTTGGAAATTGTCGGCTTCTTAGCAACCGCTTATGATAAGCTTCTCAAGGTTGATAGTCCTACGCTTGCTGTCACCAGACTCTCGTTGGCTTGTGTGTTAGTTGAGAGAGATATCACCTAACCGGCTCTAAATGAGGTATGAATTGGAACCACTCACAATGAATTTTGACAAAATCTTGAAATAGAACATCACTCTCCGTATTGCTCTCATTGTAGTATGTCTAACCACAGTTCTAATATTTTTTATCGATTGTATCTTCATCTAAGATCGGATATTGCTAAACACCAGCAACCTGTTCAAAAATTTATTCATACTGAATTGGGGGTGGACGTCTTGCCACTTACCATCCCTGCTGAGAAGGTGTGACCCGATCTTCTTTCCAACACTGCATAAACCTCTGCTATTCTGACTGACGCTGTTCCTGGTGAAGAACATAATACCTAAGCCGTTCTACCCTGAATGCTCCTGCTTTTCAACACTCTATTCCAGCTGCTGGTTTGAAGCATGATACTTTGGAGTCCCATGAAACGTCTCCCCATAGTACAAGTACCGATCCAAACGTGTCTATATCACCAATTTTTTTTAAGAAGTCTCACTTACATGCCAAAACACACGAGAGTTCTCCTTTGATCCAATAAAAGATCAGCTGGTATAATAAGTAGTTGCTTCTAATGTTCAACAACCTATATATATCCGACACACTTTAGACTAATCTTCTGATCAGGTGAGTCAGTTTTCGGATAAGGATTGACAGGTCTATTCTAGGAGGAAGAGAAGAATGGAGCCTGACTCGAACTCAGGAACTTATTGAACGATACATTGGTTATTTCTGACAATTACACTCATCTTACCAATTTATTAGCTGACTTCTTTCATAAAATTAAAGGCAGAGGCAGAGCAATAATTGGTCGTTCTATAGTTACCTGATATTACGTGTTTTGATACTTTTGGTTTTGAGCTCTCATGTATTTTTTCTGTATTTTCATTTTTTAGATCCATTTGCATGTGGTGTTTACTATATGGATACGGTGCCATGCTTAGGCCCTCTCATACCATATTTCTGTATCCTTATTCTTTTTAATATAATTAGCTCTTAGGTTTTGTCATATATATATATATATATATATCCGTGTGTATTAATATTAATATTAATGCAAAAGTGTTCGTTTTAATTTTTTATTAATGTAAAAGTTTTGACTCATTTTACCTCCAATCAAAATCAAACAGTTGATCTCTTGAATTTATTTTATAATGAATCAAGATATTGTATTTACTTAGAGTTTGTTTGGGGCAGCTGCAACTTATTTAGATTATCCATTTAAGCTGGTTATCCTGATAAACTGCTGATATGTAGCTGATCCGGATAGACTGTCTGAGTGTTTGATTTTTGCGTTTGGAAAACAACTGATTTTGGATAAAT